CCAGTACGGCAATCTGGGGAACTTCCCAGTGGGCTTGTCTGTAGCCAATGCTCCGGTTTCATTCAGCCTTTTCAGAAAGTACCAGGTAGTTAATGGAGCGTATTCAAAACCAAGCAGGCCAAATACTAGTCTGCAGAGCTGTAAAAGAGCCCCACCCTCGTGTGGCCGCGTGTGAGCAGATACAGACCCATCCTTGCTTTCCCCGTTATATTCTCCCTCTTGCTGTAGAACCTCCATCTCCCACTCAGAATTACCAGCTTTCTAAGGCTCATCAGAAGATCTCAAAGCATTTTGCAAATATTAACACCCCACGTGAGGTAGGTGAATATCCCTGGCATTTCACAGGTGGGCATAGGGAGGCATTTTGCATTTGATCCCATGGTGCTTTAACGTGCACTGCTTTCAGAGTCAGGAACAGACCCCAGGCATCCTGGCTCCCCCTCCCCTGCTCCGACTTCCCAGGAGGCCGGGTTCAACCCCTCGGGATAGCACTGTCCCACGTAACGTGGCTGCTACATTTCATGCCGCACACAAAGGAGCTCACTGACTTCCCCTTCCCCACCGCCACCGTGCAGCCAAACTAACTCTGGTCCGTGCCTGTCCCTCCCCTAGGAAGCGGTGGAGTCCTGCCTCACCCGTGTCACTAAGCTGGAGCTCCAGCAGCAGCAGCAGCAGGTGGTGCAGCTGGAAGGGGTGGAGAACGCCAATGCCCGGGCCCTCCTGGGCAAGTTCATCAACGTCATCCTGGCCCTCATGGCCGTGCTGCTCGTCTTCGTCTCCACCATCGCCAACTTCATCACACCCCTCATGAAGACCCGCATGCGCATCCTCTGCACGGCCCTGCTGGTTCTCTTCCTCTTCTTCCTCTGGAAGCACTGGGACTCCATCACCTACTTCCTGGAGCACGTGTTGCTCCCCAGCTGATTCCCCGGGCCGCTGCCGGTGCCCCTGGGGCACTCCAATTCTTCCTGAGAAGGTGGGGGCAGGAGCAGAAACCTGGAGCCTTCCATTTAATTCCTTCATGTGTTTGGTACAGCTGTTTTCTCAACCCCCAGCACCCATCTGTTCACTTCCAGCCTCCTCAGTGTCACCAGGAGCATGGGAAGTTAGAGCCGGGATTGCTCGCTCCTTCTGGATGCCCTGGGAGGGAAGACGGGCAAAAGCATAAGAGTTTGGAAGAAGCCTTTAACTTACATGTTCTTGAGTTTGTTTGAGGGTTTTTTTAAATTATTGTTATTTAAAGTAATTCTATTATTCTAAAAGTCTGCAGGAATGAGGTTTTCTTTATGCCCCGAAGGAAGATGGTTCTGTATCCACTGGGGTTTGCAATCAAACCCAGCTTCTGGGGAACTTGGAGAGGGAGAGAGAGAGAGAGAGAGGTTTGTTTGTTTTTTTCCTTAAAGACAGGGACAGCAAAAAAATTATTCCTGGGATGCAATAATAAAAGAGAAAACAACCACCAGAGAAAGGAAGAACCGGAGCTCAAGTGAAGACCGTGGCTGTTTCTGCTCCCCGGAGAGCTGGCCACCGGGACGGAGCAGAATGTATGCATCACACCAGCTTATCCAAACCACACGTACGTTTACTCCCATGGTTACTGAACAGCTAACAGGCCGAGTGCAGAATTGGGCAGGGGGGTATTTATTGGCACAAGGCTGTGTTAGCTGGCCATTGGCTTGTGTCCAGCGGGCACAGGATACCCGGTGCGGTTCCGGTCAGAAAGTGAGAACAGTTGTGGCACAAGTGAAACCCACTTGGCTGGCTTTCGTTTTCTTCTTCTACGGCTTTCATTCGATTCGATCTCTTCAGGGACACACGGACTTTCTGACATTGCGCCTGCGGACTTTACAATCTACGCAAAGTATTGTGTGTGCGTGTGCGTGGGTTTTTTTTAAGTTATTTATTTCGAGATTCTGTTTCCGTTTGTGAATCAGGCGTTGGAGGAAAACACAGCTGCCTTCACAGCCTCCATAGCTCTCAAAAAGACAGAGCATGTTGTCTCCAAAGTTTCTTAAATGGGTTCACATATATATATATGGGTGTGTGTGTATCTATATCTACATATCTATATATCTCTCTCTCTCTCTATAGAGAGAGAGAGAGATATAGATATATGTGTGTGCTTATTTAATTTATATAAATGACCAGATCCTCTTCTAGTGCAAAGGGGTATAGCTCCATTGAATCTGTGGAGTGGTATCCGTTTCCACAAGCAGACATTTGGCCCTTTCTATTTTTGAAACGTGAACCTTTTGGCGATCCTGGTGGCACATGGTAAAGGTCCAGGGATTTGTTACAAGACCTTGAATATAGTCCTGGGCCCTGGGAAGGAAGCAGTCTCCTGAGACAAGGAGTCAGTCAGCCCCCTCTGGGAAAGGGGAAGTGCTTGTGCTGTCCTTCCTTTATCTTCAACACGTGGTAGTTCACAAGGGCTAATCGATCCTGTCTTCTGGATTTACAGCTGAACATTGGGGCTGTGCTGTGTACTCTCCACCCCCCGACGTAATGCCATTAGCTTCAGGCATGTCTCCACATCCTCATATTGCAGCACTTTGCAAGCTACTGCTCCCACCGGCAAAGATACGGGGATCCCACGTGGAGGATGTCGATAGTTATTCAAGGCACGGTGCAAGGGACAGGCAGGAATCGTGGCTGGTCAAGGACATACCGCACGGTTGCCTTGCACTGAGGGGGGTGCTCTCATGGGATGCAGTGGCTGACCAGGCCCCAGGGTCTCCTTAGCAGACATTGCACTCCCCTCTGGAAATGGTCACACCTCCTTTCACCTCTTCCTGTGCCAAGGATCTAGGACAAGCTCCATATCAAACACGGGCCCCCATGCTCGGCATTTCAGCCGCTCATATCAGCACCTCCAGCTAAGCGCCAGAATCCTAAAATATCCGTTTGACTTGGGCTCCCGTGGTTGAGAACAGGCTGGAGCATTTGGGATTTGCATCTCAGTTGCACCACAGCGTGTTTGGGCTTTAATGTCTGATGGTGGGACCTGGTCCTCAAAACTATCTGCCAAGAGGCCTGTCTTGGGAAAGCTGTCCCGTGTTATGCCAGCTGCCCTCTGAGCCTTCATGGAGACTGTGCAGGGGGGTGTGAAGAACCCAACTCCCCTTTTGTACATCTATTTATTTTGTATTTTTGTAAGCATTTCGCTGGAATGAACATTCCCGTTCTCATTGGGATCTTAAGGAAACTAGGCTTCTGTGGGGATAGCAGGCTAACTGGTATCACAACCGTTTTTTTGCAGTCTAAGACCGGAGGGGCAGAAATCTGAGTACAACACTAGTCATTCCAAATTTTCATTTCAGGGAAACGTCCCTACCAGGGACACGTTGGTGCATGCTCTGCTGTAGGCCTGTGCTAAAGTCACTTTGAAGTCCATGGGGTCTGAGGACATGCTTAAAGCTAAGCCTGTGGTGGTGTCCTAAATAGGGGTGAGCATCTATGCCTTCATGCATTATGGCCTGATTCCCTTTCCACCCACTTAATCGGAGCGTCTCTTGTTTTGTGCCAGTGGCGAGCAGAGTGCGTGACCTGCTGCGTGCAATGAGCAAGGTTTCCCCCTGTCAAATCTCCCATGGAAAAAGCAGAAAGGATCAGCTCCTTTCTGCTCCTCCGTGCTGGCTGATTTGTGACCTGCTCCACATGCAAGTCTCATTAATGCGGCAGGGAAGGACTTCCTTTGCTCCTCGGTACTGGTGTCAATCAGGAGTAGTCCCCTGGGAGTCCCTGGGATCGCACAGCACCTTGTTGTTGGGAGATGCTCTTCCCGGTCCCTGCCAGGATGAGGGCCCCACTGCTCTGGGTGTTGTGTGGGGAGGAGGCAGGCCCTGCCCTGAAGATGTTAAGCCTCGATAGATAGGAAAGGCAAAAAAGTAAGTGGTATAAGAAGCAGAGGTCAGAGAGGAGAGTGACCTGGCTCGGTCACCAGGAGGTCTGTTGCAGAGCAGGGGGTTCAAGCCAGTCCGTGGCTGCCCTCTGGACCATGCTGCCCCACGAGCAGCACTCTTTACAGGTACAACCCAAAGCAAGGCAGGACAGCAGTAACAAGGAGCATTGCTTGCACAGACTGGAGGGCTAGCTCCTGGGCCAGTGCTGCGCTACATTGCAGATGCCAAGGTCCCCGGGAGCAAGGAGAAAAAGAGGGGCTTTGTCCCCTCCATTAAACTTTCACCTCCTCTCATCAACAGCTCCCTCTATTTCCCTGCTATCTCAGGCCCTGTGTCTTGCTCTGACCCAATACTATTGCAGCCAGCATGCTGAGGAAACACAGGGCAGTCCCCTGTACTATGAGCCACCCTCTTGCTGCCTAATAGGTGGGAATCTCCCATCTCCATGCAGTTTTCTGCCTTGACTGGCCTTCATCTTGCCCCCGTCAGAGTCAGGTTAGAGGTTTCAAGGACAGTGCAATCACCTGGAGCCAGGGGTTTACGGCCCATCCAGGTGACTGGCTGCTACTAAGCAGTCCTCCCTGCCAACCGAAGGAGGACTCCATGCCAAAGTCCGAAGCTGCCCTCCTAACCCACTTTGTCAGGAGGAGCAAAGCCCACTGTGTTCACAGCATGGCTTCTGCGGAACCTTAACTCACAGCCCCAGGTCAGCCTTAGGAGACACAGGATCAGGGGAGCTTTCCTCGCATGTGTTTTAATAGCTGGTTGCTTCATCAGACAGATCTGGTTTCAGTCATGCTGAACACAGGTTAGATTGCTGCCAGGGGTGCCTCCGATGTGGCATCTGTCCTCTGCAGCATCAGAGGCAGAGTTGGAGCTGGGGGAGAAGTTTCAGGCCCATGGGGAAAGGCATTTGGAAGGAGAAATGTAGCAGGTGTAAGGACTTCAGAGCTGCAGGGGCTGAGTCCCCTGTGTCATGGATGTTGTTTCTTCATTGATACCCTGGAAGTGTGCACGATGCATTGTTCAACCAGAGCAGGAGTGTTTCACACCAGTTGGCACCAGGGTAAGTTGGCACAAGTGCAAGGCAAGGAGAGTGTCTGGCTTATGCATTGGATGGCTGGGGCTAGGGGGGTGTCTCCCCTCACACCACTGTGGTCCTCTGCCTACTCCTGATTCACACCAGTTTCAAATAGGACTCAGGTGCTATAGAGCCCTTGCTGGAGGTACAGGCACTTGCTGATGCTGGTTCTTCCCATCCTCGTTTCAGGGACACACTAAGGATGGGGGAGATGTGGGTACCGAGACTAGGAGGGTGCTAACCAAGGCATACTGTTGATCAGCTGCCGTCTCATGTCTTGAGTTGTGACCTCCCTTTCTCCAGCTCTACGCAGCGACAAGACAGGTGTTAATTCTCGTGCTTAGGGTTCATTGTTTGTGTTTCGATACCACCCAGCCGCGACCAGAAACCCATTACACTAAGCACTGCGCACATATGCACGGTGAGAGACTGTCCCAGCCTCAAAGAGGAAGGGCGGACAGGGCACAGAGAGAAGGGTCTTGCCCAGGTCACGCTGTAGGTCCCTGGCAGATGTGTACCACTGAATATCCAAGGCATATTTGAGATGACTGTGTTCTCCAAGTGCTACAGTGACCAGTCAAGGTGGGGAGGCAGCTTACTGTAAGGGAAAATGAGCAGAGGACTCCAGCAATGTAAAGAAGGGTTTAATGAGTGGTTTAGATTCAAGTGTGTGTTCTTGTTCTTCAAAGACTATCACCCTGATCCTGCACACAGACATGTTACTCGTGGGAGTAATTCCCAGTGGCATCGCTGGGACTGCTTACACGAGTCAAACTAGGCACATGCATAATTAGCTGCAGGATTAGAGCTTAAGACTCCCAAAATATTCTCTCTCAGTGGAACATCAAAGGGACTGTCTTGGGGAAAGGGAGATGTGTTTAGCCTTTGTTTCGAGTTTTGCAGAAACGGCTCCTGTGATCTTCTTTTCCATTTCAACAGCAAGAACAAATCTCTGTTAAAGTCTTAACTTTTCCTGCAGTGCTTGCAACCCAGACTCTGCGCCCGGAGGTGAAGCCGACTAGGGAAAAAAGGAGAAACTGATCAGTCTTTTTCCATTGTCCAAGATGAATCGCGTGAAAACAAGTAAATAAACGGTGCAAAAGGCAAAAAAATCATTTAGATTTGGTAACGACTAATTCAGAAGGAATTCTCTTGGGTGGGAGGGAGCATGCATGAGGTATCTGCTCTTTTGCTGGCTCCCCAGCTGTTATATTTTAAACTGATCGTGTTCCCCTGACGGCAAAGGATGAATTTGGCCCCATGCCACGGGACCCCCGCAAAGCCGGGACACCCTTAAACCCTCAAACACAGTCTCATGTGATACATGGGGTTAATGTAAAGGGGTCACTATCACCCTAAGAGTCTGAGCCTGGCAACGCATCACTAGAGAGCATGTTTATGGCCCCATCCCAGTCATTGTAGACTTCTGGTAGAGATCACCGTGAGCCTGATGCACTGAAGTTAATGGAAAGACTCTGGCTGATATCAGCAAGCTTTGGGTCAGGCCGTACACCAGTTCATTGCTGTCTACAGCACCAGGTCCTAAAGCATTAGGCAGAAATAACTGGGAATAGTATGCTTAGGTCTAGAGACTGCAGCAGGGCAATGGGTGACCTGCAGGGTTACAGATACCTAGGTGTGCAGAACGCAACTCAGTCTTCCCGGCAGGCAGACAACACATAGCATAAGGAGCCCAGGAGACCCCACTTTTCCAAGCACAGAAGCCGGTGAAGAGCTTTGCTGCCAGAAACAGTTGTGCCGAATCTGGGAGTTTTCAGAGGCGCTTGGGAATCCAGGCTGCCTCGGCTTTCCAGGAGAATTAGAAGCCACGTATCATTTGCAATGTGATTGTGCCTGCAGGCCCTAATACTGGACACGAACCCC